AATATTGAACCCTCTAAAACAATAAAATCAAGATTTATGATGTACGATAAATTAAGCATTTCCACATGTGCATGTCATCTCACTGCAAAAGCTTTTGCGCATATTCTTAAAAAATATATGACGAAAACTGTCTTGCTTTACTCCAATGAAAAGATTTAAAATGCGCAATATTTTCAGTTTTCAGAGTTTTTTCAACGAAACGGTTTGTACATTCAAGTTTACTTTATTTTCGTTGCAATTTTAACAATCTTTAATCTTGATGCCACGAAAAACAATGCTTGCTTCATTTCCATAACTTACTGCTAAGCTTTGTTTGCCTGCATCATTTTGGGAAATAACAAATTGTATATATGCTATACCATATCATATACATGTTCATCTGTGATATTGCGCCGCATTATTGTCATTTTGGGATCACAGTATGATATATAAATAAATATTTTAAAATGTATTCCGAGTTATCTTTCAGAACATACTCATATACAGTAGTTTAAGTCAACGAATAATCAGACATCAATAGCAAGATTAATAAGTATTTGCAAATTAATAGAGCGAACTTATCGAAATAATTATCTTTGAATAATAGCGAATTAAATTGTGATATTTATGCAAAACTGTATATTATAATTGTGTCAAAAAATATTTTTTTATTATATATATTATATATATAAAATATATTAAAAAGATACTTTCTAGCAATAGATTTTTTGTAAAGTAATTAATTATAAATAATTTTTTTCTTAGAAAAATATTGATTCAAAATTTATCATCAATTACAAATCTCATTTATAAGAATACAAAGATAATTAATGATAATTTAAATAATGCATAGCTGAGCCTAAATATGTCGAGCTGATTACTTTAACATTCTTCTATTTTGATTAAATATGATAAAATATCATTAACTCTTCAAAGTTATTTAGATTTAAATAAGTTTAATTGCAGGGATTTATATATAAATTCTTGAAAAAGATATATACAAAAAATATGTAATTTAATAAATCTTTTATCAATATAATCGCGTAGACCGATTGTATATTTATATCCGAATGAAAAATATATTTGGAGTTTTAAATGAATTATATTAAATTCTTTTTTACATTGGGCGGGAAACAATGGCAGAAATATAGCCGAAAGAGAATAAAATAATTCTATTTTTAAACTATTACATATAATGATAAAGTATTTTCCCGTTTTTTTTTATTATTTTTTATTGCTATGAATTATGAATCACAACATTAACAATATAGAGCAAAATGTATTATGGCTTTTATGGCTTTGTCTATTTTTTATTATTTTTTTATTATCATTAAATGTGAAATTTAATGATTATTCAATAGGTTTCCTCTGGGTATTAAAATTTTTTGGCTATCTTCTATTCTACTGCTACGTTCTATTTTGCAAACGTTTTCTTTGCACCTGCAACTGCGCACGAACTCTTGGAACCACGTTAGTTGCTCTTTTATGATGCACTTTACGGTCTTTGGGAGAAAATTCAGTTTTATTATAGAAGAATCCTCAGGCGCACCGGTGACTGCGAAACGCTATCCTTTTTTCTTCCGTTCTCTGCTCATCGATAAAGCCGGTACGAGCAAGATAGTTCAGGCTGATATAAGATGTCGCATAGAAGCTAGATTCGTTATGAAGTTCATCTCACCTATCCGGAAATTGTAGAAAATTTAAAATTGTGTATCACGTGTTAAGAACAAAAAAAATGAAAAAATGAGAAAATATGAATTTAATGAACGGAAATTTGTTATAATATCGAGGCGGATATTGTTGTAATTTGTGATATGAATCATCACGAAGCAATTTAATTCAACAGCGTCATTTACAACATCGTATAATTGAAAATTGAAAATTTATTGTTGAAATTAACCAGAATGTCTGCACCTTGAATTTGCCAGATCAATTAAAAAAGGGAAATTAACCGTCAGGACATTGTGGCACATAGACTGAAGGCATTACTTGAAGAGCATAGCTTTGGTTTTAGTGGGCATTACTTGAAGAGGGTGAGCATTAGTAGGCATTACTTGAGCATTAATGAACATTACAGGGCACTACTTGAATAGCGGCACTACGTTACACATATCTACATAATAATGCCTAAAACTATTTTAATACATTAATAATCAGTAATACGTACGATTTTTTTTATTTTTATTTTTTAAAGCGATTTCTCTAATATCTAAAATTAAAACCATTTCTTCTAATCCTTTTGAACATTACGGAAACTTATTTAAACTTATTTAAAATAATATAATAATTATTAGTCATTACTAGATATTGTACAATTTTAATCAGCAGTCTGTTATTCTTTGAAAATAATTTTTTTAATCATTATTCTACTATATACCAATTGTAAAAATAAAAAATAATAATTATAATGATTATAAATATTAATTGAAATGATAATTTAATTTAAAAGAGTCTGAAAAAAACTCGAATAAGATAATAAAGAATTACATAATAACATTTTATATATATCTATGCATACATATATCGCGAAATTGATTTTTATTGATCAATTATAACACGTATCTGTAAATATTTTGTTAAAATATAATTGACAGAAATTTATTAGATAGAATTTAATGAGAGCGTTCTATACGTTCTATACGTCCTAACTGCAAAATCGATCAGGAAATTACTTTTTTTTTTAATCATCCTTTTATCGATTATGAAAACAAAAACACTATTGCAGCAATTGCCTTTTAGAAAAATTTCCTCGCACACACTTCGGCTATTTTTCCTGAAGTCACGCGAAAGTAAATCGTTTCGAAAGTGTTGAGAAAGATGAGAAACGTTGGCATGTGCGCGCTTCATAGAGTAAGGTGTCCTTATAAAGAGCGGTCGTAAAGTGCTGAACGTCGCTTAAAGGGTCGTCTTCGGGCTGCTATTACTTCGAGAAGAGCACTTTGCACTATTACCAATACACGAAACACGACGATACTGACGGGAAATGATAGAGTCGAAAGACGGAGGCAATAGTTAATCTTAACTCGGATCTTTCCTCTTCAGAGCTCGTCTGACGAAGAATGTCCTTATTCCCTGTTTATTCGCTTATCCTGCGATCTCACTTGCCACTTTGGCGTACAAAGCGCTTACTACATACACATTAAAGGAGAGTATCATGTAACAATGCTTTATGGATCAGCCAGTTCGATTTTAAAAGCATTTTTAATGCAAATCTTTCTTCCATAAAGGATAGACTTTTGCTTTTTTCAAATACTTCAACTTTTTAACTTTTCAACGTTTCAAATTTAGATTATAAAACGTAATTAATATTGCTTATATTTAGACATATATTATCTATTGAAAAAAATGTGCGTTTACTATTTTTAGAAAAAGAAGAATAATAACTTTATGATGTAAAAAGGATAAAAGAATCAGCTAATGAAAGTTAAAGCGCAATATCTGTGACGCGATTTTTCATCGTTATATTATATATGTGATGAAGTAAAATTTTAAATAATGATGAAACATTCTTTAGAGAATTTAGTTTATTATTTATTGTAACATAATTATTACGCATACATATCATAATTAATATATTGACTTTACGAATTTGCGTAGTACGCTTTGACTCTTATTGGTCTAATTTTTTTGTAGCTTTTAATTTATTTAATTAAGTAACACATTTGTAAATAATATTTTGTACGAAAATTAGGAAATTAAAAAATTTCTAATTGTTCGTGTCATCATATTATAAATATATTACATAAATATATTACAATTAAATTCTAAAATAAAGTTTCTGATTAAATTTTAGTCAAATCATACTTTAATGTTTTAATCATACTTTAATCACGTTAATATAATGACAATATTATTTAAAAAGTATTTTTTTATAAACAAATCTTTAAGAAAAAAGAAATTTTATTAAAAAATATTGTTTTATATATACTTCTTTGATGCAATATAATGAAATATATCGAACAAGTAATTGCATTAAAAATGATTATAAGATTAAGTAAAAGTGCATTTACTGGTTAGAGTTCTACGATAAGATATGATAAAAATGATGCATTATAAATTGTCAGTATAAAGATTGATATCTTTTTATCGATATCTGTTTGAAATGTGAAATAGGAAAGCATCATCTTAACGCGCATCAGCAAATTTCCTGATGGATAGGCGTGGTTAAAAAAAAAAGAGTTGAATCAATCTTACTCAGGAAATAATATCGCACATTTCACGAGAGGCGTGTGTCTAGGTAGATTATAATTCAAAAATTACCACCTGTCATTGAGAACGCTCGTCAACTAGCTGTTGTACGTGAAAATTTTCTGCGATGTTTCACCCTTATCCAGAACATGGATGGCAGGCGATCAATCCTGATGTCGGGAACTCGAAGAGTTCTATCACGTTAGTAAAACTGATTTAAAGACCGCATCGTAATCCTTTCGTTAAGTCCTCGTCGACGAGATACCCGTTCCATTAATGCAGAATGGGATAAAGTCGGTAGTACATAATGTTGTCGCGCGTCGCACATTTCCCGAGTGCATACAAATTGCTTTGTCTCGATGGCTATTTTTCTCGCTCCAGCCATACAGGACGATCGGGGCAAATACGTTCGAAATTTCCCTTTACGACCATCCTTTACATCGCCTAATCCCCCTCGTAAAAGCTAGCGCTCGTGGCGAATCCTACTTTTGCTCGCTATAGAACGTCGCCAAGGAAGAGTTCGAAGGAAGCTTCAAGACGTTGCGAATAAAAGGAACGATATCGTTGGGGCGAAATTGAGGCGAGAGATTTCAGCGCGGATTTCCACGGGAAACAAATCGAGCAACGTCGCGTTATCGAACTCCCAACGGCAATGTAAATTCGATAGATGGTTCATTGCAAAATAGAATTATTTTCAAGTATATGATGTAGCGAGACAAAAGCGAATGATATCGCAAGACGTTATTTTTATCTTACGTGAACAGTAGTTTATTTTATTAGAAACATGTAATTATATTCGCTAAATAAATATGTTTCTTCTAAATATTTTTCAGAGTTTACCGCAAACACCAGCCGGTGGTGCTGGTGGAAAAGCAAGCGCGAGTACCGGTTCAGGTGCTGGGATGGTCAATGGTGCTGGTGCCGATCATGAAAACATCCGGGATGGTGCTGGCATAGATACAGAGCTCGTAAGTACACAAATAATTCGCAATTGGTATATTTTGGACAATCTTCTCTCTCTCTTTATTTTTAACTTTTTAAAGAAATTAAATGTAATTATATGCGACACATTTTCGGGTTTATTATCGGAAATTAAAATAGCAGTGTGTATGTGTGTATACTTTTAATAAATATTAATACATATTATGGTATGCTTATTTTATAAATCATATCTAGAATTCTTTGCATAACAACCGATCCCATGATTATTTAAACTTTTCTTTTGTGATATCAAGTGTGCAGTGAAATGTTACAATGGTATTCTTTATAATGGTATTTTTAAAACTTGATTTAATTTGGATACTTCTTTTTGCGGTTAATGAGTTTCGGTAAAACTACATCGTCCGATGACGAAGTGGAAGTAGAACAAATCATTGTCTTTCTTTGTCGATAATTTCAACGCTTTTGCAAAAGTTTCTCGCAAGTGCGCTACCGCGACGAAAGTTTTATATGGCAAAAGAACCGACCGGCAAAGCGGCTATTCGTTGCACCGGATGCTATTGTTTACTTCATTCTACTTCGGTTCGAGCGGACCCTTTCATTGCGACGTACCACGGGACTAGTAGGGTGAAAGTAAAAAAGAGAGGAAAAAAAAGTCTCGCGCTGGCATGTCATGGGAAATCACTGTGATTACTCTCGACCTCTAAGTTATTCACAAGAGGTCCACATTCGAAATTTCATTCAGAATGCAACTCACTACATGTATTTTGTTTTCAAAATTATAAATACTGAATTTTCGAAATTAGAGTGCGTACAAATTCTAATAAAACTTATATTTAAATTTATATATATAGAGCATTCTTTGTCAAGCGAACTTTACCCAGCGTTTCCAAAATTGTATCGAAATAAAAAAATCATCTTACTCAAATATAGATGCACGCATAAACTATCAAAAGCCATAAAAATTTAAGGGTGGGTTCAATGTAGCAAATATAAAACAAATAAAAATGTGAAAATAAAATAAAAAACGATGCCATTAAAATGCATCGTAAAATTGATTTTCAAGGGTGTTGGAGCCTTGATTAAAAATCTATTGTCAAATTTTAGAAACTCAAAATGACGGATATAAAAGTATAAAATAAAAGTAAAAAATGAAAGAAAAATATTTATATCAAGCACAAATTTATATATTTATAATATAAAATATTTAACGAAAAAGAAAGATAAAATATGTATTTGCAGAAACAACTTTATGAAAGAAAAAAAATACTGACGCCATTTCTCCATTTATTTCCACGTTTTTTTGTTTTATATCCGCTATATCGAACTTGCCATCTTGAATTTTTTTAAAATTCACGTGGCTTTCGATAGCTTATGCAACTACATTTGCAACTAGATTTGCAAGGTGGTTTTTCTACGTCGAATAATTTGGAATTTTGGAACGATGAATATATAAATTATATATCATCGTATTGACAAAATTACAATAAATAATTGTACATGAAAATCGTCGAAAAAGGAAAAGGATATTCGGCATGCGTGAAAGAATTAAAAAATGTTGACGTCTGCGCATAATAACATAAATTAAAAAGGAAAAAAGAAGGGAAGCAGCAAGATCCTCGGAAAGCACGCAATACGGGATCTAACCAGCCGATAGAAGCTAGCTGGAATTCAGGAATTAAGCGATTACTTCCGAAGTTAACCGGCATCTCCATTGTTCCCGGCATCAATCCGCCTCTCCAACGATTCTCCCGTTTTTTCGCACGTCGATCTATTCGCACGGAATTAAAACCGTTATCTGCGTCCCTCCACCCGCTTCGCCAACTTCCAAAGAGCGGAGGAACGAGTGGCAAAGAATGGAATCTATATATGAACAAAAGGAATGTGAATAGAGATGGAAGCGACTGGTCATTCCCAAGTCCTGCGATTTTGATGATATTATATTGTATATTATATTGAACTTTACTAATACACATTATCATATTATCACTGCTCCCCTTTTTGTCAAAATAACATCTCTCTGATTTTTTTCATATCTATTTTAATATTTTACATGAAATAAAATATTAAAAAAAATTATATATACAATTTGCAAATTATAAATAAATATAGCTATACGTATATTAAATTGATAATATCTAATCTAAAATCTTTATATTAAAATATCGCTGATCTTTCAATAATTTTTTCCTCATAACGTTTAATTTTTTAAGACATTTATTAATTGTGTTCCTACATGTAAAATTATACGTGCCTTTCGATTAAAGAGAGCGGAAGCATTTCAGAGAAAGGATATTATATATTTCTTTGAACACGCTGTTAATAAAAGAAATTTCGAATATACGTATAAGTAACGAAACTATCTTTGCGGAATCCAATTGGATTGCTAGTGATCGATATTATTCATCTGGCTTTATGGGTACTTTTAATCGAGCTTCCGGAAAAGCTCACGCCCACCGTGATTGTTCGTTCGTTCGAAATGTCGGCTCTACGATAGGCGTTAACAATTTTTTCATCGCTGTCCCCATTCTCTCCGTGCTCTTCCTCTTTTCCATCTCGGCCGAATTTTTTGCAATTTTTTCGGTGTCTATCGATTTACATGCGCCAGCAAAATCGACGATGCTTACGTCGTTTGCCGCGCTCGTCTAGCAGTTTATAATCGAAAAGCGGTGGGACGCGAGTTTCGGTAGTACGACAGCCCAGATGAAGTTGGGAAACGTTTTATTGTGCTTACTACAACTCGTTGTCCCGTTTTCCGTTTCGATATATTGAAGCCTTCTAACCTCTCTTGACCATTCTTACGTATTTGCGTATTCATCTCTGCATCGCTTATATGACAGAAGTAAAATTGGAAACATGGTAGGATCAGAAATATTTATATCTCGCATATTCTCTCGTGTCAATATGTAATGGGACATAGTTTCTAGAAATCGCAATACATTCTTCTTTGTGCTATATTTCAAAAACAAGCGTGATGTATATGCATATTACAATGCAGAGATAGCAATATATGTATTGTTCGCGTTTGCCCTTTATATTTTGAATTGAAAGTATTTTCAATTTGTACTTTTATTACTCGAAAAAATTGCTTATATCTTAAATTATTTTTGCATCGTATGAGTAATCAGCATAAAAGATGAATATAAAGTTAAACATTTGGAAGTAGAGTAATATATTTTGTTTTGTTTTAATAAAGATTATCGCGTTAGCTATTTTTTTCTTTTCTACAAAATATCCTAATTTATTTCATAATTAATTTCTCAACTTTCGATTGCTTTCATATCATTCGTTCAGAATATGTTAAATATGTTACAATAATTAATTGAGTCAGGATATAAAACCAAATAACACATTTATTACAAAGTTGTAATCATTTTGAATTTGAATAATGAAATCTAAATTGTAAGAGAAGAATGAAAAGAAGAAGAAGAAAAGATGAAAGAGAATTGTTTAAAATATCTATTATTTTGTAATATGACAAATATTCTGTTTGATAATTTCTAAAAAAGTTAATATTTCTAAGATTAGTTGTCTTCTATAAATCGAAAACTTTTTTACTCTTTTCTATAATCGACTTGAGTGAGTGATTTAGGAGCGACACAGACAAATCGAGAATGCAAGGGTCTATCTTGCGTGTCTTGTAGCAATTTTCTGTGGCAAAAAAGTCAATTTCATTGCCATTATTCTGTCAATTTATTACGCTTGTCTTATTCAAGTTACACTAATCTCGAAATTTTTCACAAAAGCGAACACAAAGCTTTCTCTAAGCTGCATAATTATTCATGAACATCCAATGTTACTCTTTTTTCCAAGTCACGCATACGTTTTATTTCCTTTATTTCTCATGATTTTTTTTTCTAATTCTTACACTCGAAACAAAGATAAAAAGCAAGAAGAGAAAGATTATCGTTACTTATTACATATTTACTCAAGAGAAGTAACAAGAAATATTAGAAAAATGCATACAGTACATCTGTACTCGCGTATTTGCTTAATTAAACGGTAGATTAGCAAAATGTCTGACCAAAGTTGCGAGTAACAATACAGTTTCGTGATTATGCAAATTTCTTTAATTTCTTCCTGGCCATCTGCGACGAGCGTTAATGTCGCGTAATAAAGGAACCGAGTTATGGGAAGGAATACTTCTTATATATATGCTGCTTGTGTCAAAATATTTTTTAATTCACTGTCAGATTTCTGCAATTTAATTGACATTTACTTATATTTTAAGAAACGTACTTAGCAGAAAGAAGAGAGTACGCGCAGAATAATTGAATAATTTTAAGGTTTAAACAAATAACGTAGAATTAAATTTCTTTTCGAATATAACTTTCTCATATTTTCCTCTCTTTCAGTAACTCTCGGAACAATATTGTAACAATATTGTAATATTACAAAAAATAATTATATATAGCATACTGATCAATCAATTTTCATTATATACAAGAGAAAACATATTTTTTTATTTTCTAATTTTCCTTTTTTTTCCAATTTTTTTATGTATAAAATGAATTAAGGAAAAAAGCAGTATTCTTACATTGTCAAATTACAAAAACACAGTAAAGAAAGCAGTTACATATAAATAAATGTTCTCCGTAATGGTGGAAGAGGCGCCGAACGTTTTATTAAGCCGGATACGTAAAAACCATAGTCAGCCGATGCGAAGAAGTAGAAGCGGGTAGAAACGCGTTTATCGAAAGAAGAAAAGAGAATGTGGCAGGATGAAAAGGGTAGAAAAAAGAAAGAAAGGCCTGATGCATGGTATTAACAAAGAAGCACTCGGCAGCACAGGGGCTTTGAATTCACAAACTCTTTCCTCCTCCACCTCTGTTATTTCCTATCTGCCCAGCATTACACATTTTTCTTCGCTTATATCACGAAAAATGTTGGTGAATCGTTTCATACTCGCATTCATAAGTGACCGCGAATTCGTTTTATTAAACTTTTTAAATGAGAATTACATGCATAACAACGATAGTTTGATAAAATGGACAAGCATATTGGAAGCATATGAAAAGGACCGCATGTT